TTCTAACATCCTTTCTCATGATTCACAATCGATTTAGGCATATCGGTCTGATTTGTAAACATGTATATTTTCTTTTAAGCCAAAAACTTTATATATGATAGAATGGGACATATCGCTAGAAATATTCCCTCAACAAAGTTATACTGTGGTACTTCATGACAGCCGATGTTAACAAACGTTGTGAAAGCGAGCGAAGAAGAACTTGAAACAATCACTGGACACGTATTGATTTTTGCGCAACATGTATATGTAAGACTACGCACTATGAACTATGCGTACAATAGTACATCATATGATTAAAGTGGGTGAAAAATAGCATTAGGCGTTTAGTGTAGGGTATTTAACGCATGGTCTAGCTAAGCAATAACGTTTCAACATGTTTTGTTTATTATTCTATGAACTTACAACTCATGTTACCTTTATATATAGGTGCTACATTGTTCTAACAAAAGCGGAATGAAACTGATTCCTCTGCTTTATGTTAGACTTCGGAAGCTAACCACAATTTATGTCGTGATACACCTATTATGCACATTGTAATTAAAAAATTTGGCTTCAAAGTAAGTGGGATTTAGATTCACTATGAGGAAGAGATAAATTATTCCTCACGAAGCGATACTAGTACATACCGACCATGGAAGTATGCTCTAAAAGATGTTACTTATATCATCCTGCTTATCTATGCTACCAACAGTATTGTTACTGGATGCGTTAGGTAAGGTCTACAAATCCACAAGAATTATAAGAATTAGTATAATAAAACCAATTTAAAAGCAAATCTAAAAGAATTAATTTCTTTTTTGAACACTATGTTTATCAAAATTCAATAAGCCACACATTAACCTGAATAGCGTGTAAACAACGGAGACAATTCTTGTTTATATCAGTACCAGATTTTCTATATTACATAAAATAATTCCAAAGACATGTTCAATTTTTTTCCATTCTCATCAATTATTAGTAGGCAGAGTGTAAAGTATACGAAGATCTATTCCGTACAAATTGTATTCTTATATATCTCAAATGTTATATGGTGGATAAACACTATACTGACAATACACTTTTCAATTACTGATTAACCAGTTTAACAACGAAAAAATTGATATTAGTTTTCATTATTACAAGATTTAACGTAGGTTGGTGATTAATTTCTACTGAAGATGTACAATACAATCCAAAGAAGGGCAAAAAAATTTAAAAATGTTACTTTATTATTGAAGAAAGGTTTTCTGCATGACTACGGTCCCATTAAGCAGCCCCAAAAATTTATACTGACGGAAAATACATATACTTTGCAGAGTTCACAATATATTTTTTCAGTTGTTAGGAACAACGAAGTTAATACACCCCGTTATTTCAACTCAAACACGTAAATACTTTAAATGCAGCGATGGACACATAAATAGCTCACGCTACAATATGGGAAAAGAAAGTAGCACGATGATTTGGGTTTATAAAAGCATGCAAGAAATATTTCATTCTGTAGCCGAAAATGTTTTTAATAACTTTACAACTGTGATCCATGGTTTTGACAAGCTTCCGGTATGTGTCCTTCTGTACACAACGTCAAGCTTACTCGATAACTTTTCAAGTTTTATTGTTAGTTTAAAAATAGTTTGTCTAATATTAATTTGAACGACATATTCCATAAATTTTCAGTAGGATTAAGATTATTGTTTTTTACGAAAACAAATCGTTTTTGGATCAAAATTTAATTTACATGCGTAGAGTAGCATTCTTTGAAACCTTTAAATAATGGAAGCAGTTCATTTTTCCATTTCAATGGAGCTTTTTGCTTTCTCGCTCGAAAGTATGTTTTTTGGCCTGGCCGTTTAACGCACCTCAATTAGTCGATTGAATTAAAATTCCACCTGTAGGTTCCTAATAACCTTCTTTAGTGAAATACCTGGGATTTTTTCGTTTAAGGGACTTCACAGCCAACTTTTGACAAATCTTTTGAATCAATATTTCGATTGTTATTATTATAATTAATTTAGCTGGAGAAATAAATTCAAAGACTAAAGTTTTAAAGCACTAGCATCTAAGACTATCGGCTGTATTGGAAACTCTACCGCATTTGAGATTTCTATTGGTTTCAATAAAGAATGCTTTTATATACAAAACGTTGAGATACAACATTGACACGTCTGAGAAGAAGATATGTTTTCTTTGATTTTTATTTTAAATAATTATTAAAAAAATATTTAAGAATTCCAACAAATGTTGAGACATGTGCAAAAAGTTTGTTTAAATACACTGATTGGGCTTAAGTAAATAAATTTGAGTAAATGGTTACTAATTTCGTGTTCACAAAGCAGAATTATTGCTCAAGTAGATGACAGTCTTCCTCTACTTTTCTAGTGGAATTATAAACTATTTTTCTGAAGGGATTTAAGAAGGTAGTTATTGAAGCAGCATATTTCCTTTCTGGTACAGAATTGACAATAATTTTTCTTTTTTTCAGCAACGAAATGGAACATTCTGTTTCGGCGTAGTTGTTAAGAAAGTTACTAATTAATTTAATGCACAAAGTGAAGGGTGTTTGAAATTTAAGTCTATAATTTTCATACTATTTTTATCGTCAATTCCAGAGCATGCATCGACAAAGCGAAATATATATAAAATTGTTTCGATAAAGTCTCTAGTTTAAATTACAAGCGCAATAGCGGTAAACCATGTTGTTTAAGAGCTAAGAATATAATTTTTTAATTCATACAGTTTAAAGAATTTTATTAGATGTAATTTATGCAGTTTAAAAAATTTCATTCAGATTTTGATTCAAATTTGTGCTAATTGTATATCCACAGCGATTTTGCACTTCAGTTTTATGCACAAGACAATGCAATGTAGGACTCAAGTTTATATACAACACTTTGTTTTGATTGTTCTATTTCCTTACGACTTATTTCATGAAATTTAATTTACCGCTTTACTGTAAAGTAAAAAATATGTGGAATTTATGCGTTCAGCTTGTATTTTAACGCAAGAAATTACGGGCTCACGTTTCTGCAATATCGTGAATTTAGCTCATGGTAGAGTGCAGAAAATTTCAAAAGATTCTTTTCGTTTCATTGAGAACGATAGTGATAATAAATGTGTTGGCAAAAGCATTAAAGCTTCGTCGCAGATGCAAAATGGACGCTATGGGGACACATTTTACAAATAAAATTACGAAGTTATATTTAATATAAGCCCTTCTGGTCCGTTTTTTGGATCAAATTCTAATATATATAGATATAGAAGAAAATTAAAACAAACGTAGATAGATACCACCCATACAATATTCTCTTACGGAAAAATGAGATGATTGCTCATGTGGCGTTAATACATTGCTTAATGGAGAGCATACGGATCTCGTGAGGAACGATTTCGAGAGGGTTAGAAATTTTCGATATTTAAAGAGCAACGATTTGTTGCAACATAAATCGCAGTTTCCGTAAACGTATATAAGACCCACATTCCACAAGCGATCAGCGGAGTATTTAAATGAAGCCGCCTGCTTGCGATAGCCGGATATCTCTGAAGTTGCACCCAAAGTGAAACTTATTTTAAATGAGCTCCATGTTAAAAAATTGGAAAAGCCAAAAATATCTCATTTAACATGTACGACGTATAAATAATTTTGCTCCGAATAATAACTCAATTCAAGTGAAATTTAACGATTGCATTCAGTCATTCAAAGAATTCCGTAGTATATTCACCGATCTTCTACAATAGTGGCGCACTGCTTTCATCATCGTTTTTACTTGCCCGTTCATGGTGTCCTTGGTGAAATAGGTGAAATACACAAATCATATAATTTTAAAGATGTTCAGACGCAAAACCCAGGCAATATTTCAAAGCATCATATACCTAATACTAGCTTTTTTCAATTAATAAATTTTTTAATGAACAAATAGGAGTGCCAAATTTTAAAAGAACAATCTGAAGTAGTCGGAATTGTTTTCAGCGTTACGATAAGAAATTAATCGAGGAACACCGATAACGACGTTAAAAGATGTTCTGAAATAATCACCACAAATAGCACTTAATCTACCACGAATGCTGCTCCATGTGACAGCGAAAAATTTGTCCAAATGTAATAGAGCATTCACTCAAAACAGACCTTATCAAGTCAATCAATACTCTGATCCAGATCCTTTGTATTTTGATTCTTCTACTGAATCGGATTCACCCATTAAAAAATCATATGGCAATGAAGGAAGCCATAGTGAGGTTATATCGAAAATTGTGAAGGCCATAATATATTAGCTATCGTAATTAACAACTGTCCTTATTTTGTTCGTCTATAGAAAAATGATGAAATCTCAAATCCAGCAACTAAAGATGGAAGAGTCTGAATGTTGAATAACATCTGCTTTAGGTGACCAGGGCTTCCATAATAAAGCTTGTATCAAAAGCGGAACGTACCACTCTTTCGGTGCCAAAATCGTTGCAATCGCAACCGTCAATTTTAAGCACACTTAATCTCGAACCATTCGTGCTTTAGTATTACGCGAATTGTTTTTTAACACGAAACCCCTTAAAAGAATTTACTCGTTATCATAACTTCATTAAGAATAACTAAACTCACAATCAATACAACACAAAAGACAATCTTAATAGCGATGCCGAAAAATAATTTGTCAAAGTTCAGTATAAGCGTGATGTTTAGCAGTGAAACGGAAATTAATCCTCCAGAAAGTACACAAACGAGGAGTTCAGTAGCGACTTTTACAATTGCGGTACATTTCTTCGAAATTTGTGCACTGGGTAATTACAGCATAAATAACCTAATCAAAAATCACACATTTGAAATTTTAGCACAAAAATTTATCAGCAAAACCGTAACCATTAAAATGCGTAACAATGGGAACGAACTTGCGAATTTCATAAGATTGTGAAAGAGAAATAAATAGTATGTAAATAGTATTTCATATGACAGCACATATATCATAAAATGAATTTACATCTACAATGGTACATGTGTGTTCCAATAAATCAAATGCGTTTCAGCTTACCTGCTTCTTCTGATGCGTATTTGTAATTAGGTTGAGATGGTACAGGCAATAATTTTGCATAAGTTTCGGGCATCATCTCCGTAATCCGTTGATGATAGGACAATCTACGAAAGGTGATGCAAAAATTGTAAGTAAAGCCAAGTTTCATTGCTGTTACTCACCGTAAGCACTTTTGCAAAACTTCTTGAATGAATTTGGGACGTGGATGTTCAGTATCCAAAAGCAAACAACTGTCCCACTCTTCCCAAGACCAGGTAAATTTAAAATTGCTTAGATGATAGGAGAACCAATTAACAAAACGATCAAAGCACGAAGTATTCATAGAATCAATTCGCATAAAAAGTATTTCTGTAGCTTGAGCCAATACTTGGGGTAGCGTGGCTGGATGCAATTTGCAAAGTTCAATCAATATAGAACCATAGACAATGTCTATATATCGGGGTGTAGGCATATGAAAAAGTTCTGCAAATATTACCTCAACAATACAATATTCAAGAGGTATTTTGCTCTTGTAAGGGAAGTCTAAAAGTTGGGCTGCACAATCTTTACGCTCCAAATGATGCATTTCTATAATGTGGTGTAAATGCTCTTCTATAAGAAAGCGTTCTATAGAGTGCGCTCCTGGTAAATTCGGCCCGTCAGGACAATCAGTGTAATCGAACATTCTATAAACCACCGACGGCATTGGATATTCATAAGATTCGTGATGAGCTGGTGGAACGATTTGTGGTAAGTTATGCTGCAATGCTTCGCATAAAATAGAATCGAATGCCAGATATGGGCGTGGTATATGTTTTTCAGCCCAATTATCCTGGCGTAATTTGCGTATTTGAGCCCAGAGACAGTCTAGGTACTCTTCTTGAGGGTGTGGGGCATCAACAGACCAAACGCGTAAGGCATTATGATGCTTTTTTGAACGCTTATTTAAATAGACTTCGATGCGCAACAACAAAGATTCAAGTGAGGATTCTTTTTTCTCGTATAAATCTCTTCCCACCCACGGTAACGTTGATAGCACTGCAAAAACATACCAGTCGCGGCGCACTTGTGGCACTGTATCCTCATTGGAAACGTCAATCATTGTGTCCAGCAACTGAAGCAACGAGGTTGCAGAAATTACATGGCAATTTACTAAATCAGCTAAGAAACGTAGCGAATATCGGGCAGCATCCCATCGACATAACTTTAATGATTCTTTGAAGGTTTTAACCATATGATCAACAAATTCGCCACCAAACTTATAATTTTTCGCATTGAGCAAACCGACTAAAGTTGTGTAAATTGTACACTTCTCCGGCATTTTCACGGCGCATTCTGAAAGTATGCGTAGAATCTTCAAACGAAATGTGCCCAAGTCTGCTTCTAAAACCGAAACCAAACCTTCCAGATTAGATTCCACGGAGGAAGTGCTGCGTTCACCTACTCTTAATATTAATGACTCTAAACGATCTTCAATCTCTTGATTTTCGGATACTCGACGCCTTTTACGATTCCTATGTTCTAGAATATAAGTAAAAGAATATACTTAGTTACTAGCTGTTCATCTTTTTTCTAGATTAATTCAGCGGTGTATTAGCTGCTTTTATACCATAACCGTCATCATCTCCATCATGCTGACGTCTACGGTTCATCATATCTGTTTTGCTTCACTTGTTTTTCAAAATTATAACTAAATAGGCATTAACCTAAAAAATTGAATTAATAAACCACTTTCTAATTTAAAAGTGCTTCTTTAGATTTTTATGATTACCAGTAATAGTTTTAATCACATTGATATTTAGAACACAATGAAAGAACTTAACGAACCATCATGCATATTAGGTAAGGCCATATGGTTTTCGATTTTATGTTTTATAACGACAAGTTGTACTTTACTACACAATACTGTTGCAGTATAAATCCAAATGCATACTTTAATTGCACCAAAATACTATTTGCGAGATAAAATTATAAAGAGGAAATATAATTTATCAATTAATTAAAAACGGCTTTTCAATCCAATTTACTTCTTCACTGTATTCATTTTAGCGCTTGTCTTAATTGTGTGTTTCCTTACCGTCGTTATATATATAATTGAGCATATTGCCATAGCAAAAAATGTTAGCAAATGAATATGGAATGCATTGCTTTTATTGTAAAAAACTCCAAAAAAAACGATAGTATAAAGTTAAACGATATTTAATAATATTGACTGTCCGGATTAGAATGTATTGGAACACAATTGGCAATTGTTTTGTTAATTTCTATTGTCTACTTTGCACCACTGACGCCAAGAAACACATTTATTGGTTAGACGTGAAAATGCAGAACAGACTGGAATGGTGGTACTACTCTCAACGGTGGTATTTTACCACATTCTTTATTAAGCTGCTGTTATCTTACAACCTTTTGAATTTTTTTGCTTATTTTACTATCTACTGCCTGCGTAAAAGCAGAAATTATAGTGATGTTTTTAGCTTGAACAAATCGTTAAATTATATTACAACTTCATCTTTGCCATAACAAAATAAATATTGACCGAAAGCTCTTTAGCCGCGTGTAAGTTTTTTCCTCTTTTTTTATCTTAGTCATATCACCATTTTATAACTATATTGCCAATCATACTTTTTTGACAATAGCTCAATTTAAAGAACTTAAAATGAAGCTTGGTGCTGATTGTGCATCTTTTGGTTAACTACCTTTCGCTTCGATGACGGAGCTTGAAAGTTGTTTAGCTTTGCTATATGTATGTCCTTCGTCTTTCGATATTTATTTAAAAGAAGGGCAATCTTGACGATTCTTCCCTTACAAACAACCAACATGATACAATCAACAACAAAATAATAAATAAAAGTCAATTATATAACATTTGTAATAAAATGAAGTAAAAGGATAGCAAGGCCAGTGGCGAACGTGGGGTAGCGACTTCAACTGGAACACAGCCACAAGTACAACGGAGATGTAGAATTTTTGTTTCATCTTGCATTTGTTTTTTATTTATGCTTTGAAGCCCTCATCTGATAGCTTGAAAGGTAAGCAAGTGCGTACATTAATTTTCAATATCAATAATTAATAAAACAAATTATTCATTCGCACTTCATTCACATTTGATACAAAATGTCATCTCTGCAAACGGCAGCTGGATAATTTTTGTGTTTTACCGGTGTTGGTGAAAAAAAATAAAAATAAATAAGAAAAAAAAAACGAGAATTTAGAAATTTCAAAGAAAAAAAAAGAAAGTAAAGAAAAGAGGTTTAATAAAGTAACCAAATTTTTGGAAAAAAATTTAAAGGAAGAAAAGGAGGGAAGGAAGAAGAAGAAAGTGAGAAAAAATTAAAAAGCAATATATATATTAAATTTTTTATCTTTTCTTTGTGATTTTTTATTCTTTTTTTGGTGTTTCGCGTGATGACAATTAAAACAACATCAGCCCGTCTCCCTATGGAAACTGGGTCTGATCTTATAGCTACTGATAGAGACTGTTTAGAAGATTTTTATATGAATGCCACTGGGCGCACCAAGAGATCAAGAATGGGTGAGAATAAAATTCTTTTATCTGCTAATGGAGAAGCAAACGTTGCAAGTGTGCCTAGTAAACAGGCAGTCGACAAGGCCTCTGATTTGGGTGTCACAGCCGCCCCAAATCTCGAGATTAATTTGTACGACTGGTTGTCGAAATGCAATTTTTTTGTTTTTGTCGAAACGTGCGCAAAAGCTGAAGGGCATCGTATGAATATCAATTCCGATCTCTTTTTTTACGATTACCTGCTGCCAACGCCAACAACTTTGTCACAAATAACGATTTTACTAAGAAGAATTTAAAGGCGTACATACCGAGGTCGTTCATCGAGAGATTTGGCGCCATTCGAAACATCTCATGTATATACAGTGTAGACGAGGTAATTAAAAATGCCTTGTCCTATATTCCGATCAAGTCCGCTGTCCGTTTACAAAAAAGGAATCCCAACAACAAGGATAAGTGGATTCCCACAACCAGCATCAAAATCGGCTATAAAGGGAAAACCCTCCCTAAGTCAATTAAATTGAATTATTGTCATCTACCGGTTGAGTACTTTGTACCAACCTTAAGGCAATGCTTTAAGTGTGGTAGATACGGTCACTTTTCAAAGTTTTATAAAGGTAAGAAGAGCAAATGCGTAAACTGTGGGAAGTCTCCGAAGTGTGTAAACTGTGAGAAGGTGAAGAGTTTGTTGTGTGGTTCAGGTGAGCACAACACTCTCAACAAGTCTTACCCGAACAGGTAACTTGAATCAAACATTAACAGGATCATGGCAATCAAAAATCTCTCGTATAAAGAGGTAAAACAGAAGTTTTCGTCAAATTACTTCGAATGTTTTGACGACATCTTCTACGACGACAAGTTCTTTCCATTGGGGAACGCGTCTGCCATTTCGCGTAAGGACGACAATGAAAATGCCAATAAAATGTTAACCAAAAAAAAATGTAATGCCGAAATCGGTTCTTTCCAAATCTCCTGTCAATTCAACTTTATCTCAATACACCACCCAAGCCGTCTGAAACAAGTCTTCGGCGTCCGGTAATTTCAAACAACTATTTGCGTTCCTCAGAACTTGTAAGATTAATCTCTGCGAATAAAGAAAGTATCGATGATCCCTCATAATCCTATTAAAGAATTTGAAGAGAAAATGTCTGTCTGTGCCAACTCTCGCCCCGTTCAAGCGCCCAGCGCTATGAGGAAATCCGCCGGGGTTCTTTCTCAAGTTTAAATATGATGTCCTTTTTATAATATAATTCGACGTAAGCTGTCGTTTTTGGACTTTTACTTGAACTCAAATAAGCTTGATTTCTGCATCTTAAGTGAAGTTTTTCTGGAAGATGAAAATTGTTTTGAAGTTAAATTATGCTTCAGCCACCAAATGTCGAAATAATGGCTATGGTGATGTTAGTATATTAGTTAAGAAATCAAATCATGTCAATTTCCGACTCATTCCCTATAACTCTAGTGTTGACATTATCATCATCAAAACTATGAACCTTAAACCGCGTCTTTTCATAGCATCATGTTTTTTTCCACTAAGTCTCGATGTACGAACCTTTCGTGATGAGATTCAGAGATTATGCGACTTTCTTGACGGCGAACAAAATGTGATTCTAGATGGCGATTTCATTGCAAGACATTGCTTGTATGGCGATCAAGTCTCGACCAACAAAGGCAAGGTTCTTGTAAATGTCATCAATTCCAGCAGTTTCAGTGTCTTAAATAATGGCAATACTACCTTTCACTGTAACCGGAATGGTCGCACGGCGAGCAGTGTCTTGGATCTAATTTTCTCGAATTCAACCATTTTATCTTTCAATTGGGACACATCCAACGTTTCTATTGGCAGAAGTCAGCACTCTCCCATTTTATGCCACAGTTGCAACAATTCCGTTAAGAAAATAGAAAACTTCAATTCACGCAATTTGTTTATAGACTGACTTTCTAAAGTTGATTTTCCTTCCGGTTTATCATCAATCCAAAGTGTCTTTCGGGCTGTGATTAGGTCTGCTAGAATCGACTTTCCTGACGTTGAGTCCTTCTCACCTAAACCTTGGTGGAACTCTTCCCTGTCAACACTTTTTCGCAAATACCAAACTGTAAAAAATGAGTAAATATGCCAATCCAGCCAACTACGTGAAATATATGAAAACACGGAAAGAATGGAGGTCTGCAGTTAGAAAGGCGAAAAGGACACATAGAGCTATTGCAACTAAAGAGTTATGTGGTAAGGGTAACCCACGTTTTTTCTAAATTACGACAGCTACATTCTAGTCGAAAATTAAGCGGTTGTGCTGTGTGGAATCACCATGACAATGAAAGATATTTAGATATGTTTAAGAGCCATATTCCAAACGTCAATCCGATTACAATACCTTCAATTCCTTTTAGTAGTCTCCACAACACACTCTTTTCATTGCATAAGCTAATGTAGCATTCCAGAAAGAGAACTACTGCTGCAGGTTGTGATAGAGTTAAATATGACATGCTCAGAGCACTGTCTGTAGGAAGCCTTAGCATTTGCTTGCATTCAATTAACAACTACTGGTCCATCAACTTTATACCCTCAGATTTGCGATGCATCAAAATAGTTCCCATTCCTAAGGCAGGTAAAGACTTAAATGATTTAAGTAGCTTCAGACCAATTTCACTGATATCTGTATTCATAGAGACTATCAACCTCATGGTTAAGGAGAGACTAACTGGTTTCCTGAAAACTGAGAACATTATTCCAGCTCCTTCTTACGCCTATCAAAAACGCAAATCTACGAATATGTTCGTTAATGAACTACGTTTTCTCATAGCTAGCTTTAAAAAAGCAGGGAAAATGGTTGTCATGCTTTCTCTGGACATCAGCAAAGCCTATGACTGTGTCAACTTGATTAAGCTTGTTAGAATTCTCCTAAACTTTTCGATCCCTCTTCAAATACGGCTGTGGATAATTAATTTTTTATCCAAGCGTGTGTTGATGATGGACATCGAAAAAGTTGAAATATGTGGCGGTATCCCACAAGACACTTGTTTAAGCCCCATACTCTTCAATCTATACACAGCTTCTTTGCATGGCCTTCAAGATGACAAAACTCATATTTTTCAATATGCAGATGATTTCCTAATTGTATCTGCGGACTCATCTTTTTCAGCTGCTGTCAATAATCTCTCCATGAAAGCTAATTTTTTTTTCGATGCATGCGCTGATCTCAATTTATATTTTAACTCCAGAAAAACAAATACTATTTATTTTGCCAAAGGTTCTAAACGTGAAATCAG